GAGGCATAATTTATATTTATTTCCTAATTTTTTTATGTTGGTTGCGAGATCGTTCAAAATCTACTAAAACCATACAGAGATTAATTACTGAAAATAACAGATAAAATATAGTTTTTTCTTAAGAAACATTTGATAACTATCCAGACATTATAAAGATTTCACATGTGAAATTTCAAAATTTTCTGATGCATAAAAGTATTTTTAATCTTAAAATGAATATTACTTTGCATGATAGAAAGGTAACATCCAAAAAGAAAAAAAAAATTGATATTGTGTGTATAAAAGCATTGAAATATTTACTAATAATCTACCAAATTTCATTAATATTCACTTGTTAATTTAAAAGTTACAGCATGAAAACTATAACAAGCACAAAATGGTTATCAGGCCAGTCCTAGGCACCAAGCCCAAGCTGAAAGAGTTAATCTATAGATGAAGAAGAGACAACTAAAATGTTATGTATGGTAATTCCTACTCCACAGGGTGTAAACATGGACCCTGTCTGCTAAAACAAAAAACAGGTGGAAGCACTTGAAATGTAGTATCATAAAAGATGATCATCAATTTGGATAAAAAAATTAATGAGAAAGTATTGGAATCCACAAAGACAAGCAGACAACTGCTGATCATGTGTAGAAAATGGAAGATGTTCTACTTAGATCTGAAGAAAGGCTGACACAAATTCTGATGGGTAAGATTGAAAGCATTAAAAATAGGACTGGAAATGAGAAGCTTGATTCAGGAATATTGGAGATGGCAGCAAATATTAGAGAATAATGAAGAACCATAGTTGGTAACCCTCAGAATTTGAGAGGACATCATGATTACTTATAGTGAACTGACTTTCTGTAAATGTGTGTTTCAAATAAAACATCCAAAAGTTAACATTCCCTTAACTGAAAATTCATTTCAGATAGGTACTCGTCCATCTGCACCACAAAGAGCTAGAATCCCACAATAAAGATGGCGAAGAGATTGGTACAGAGAGAGATTACAAAGGAGAGCTCTTTTCTGAAAATAGCATAAGAAAGAGAAAGCTCATGAAATATGACATCCACAAGGTGAGGGGTGGTCATGTGGAGCAGCACTTTGGTGGGAGAACAAATCCATCTCAAGCAGGGAATACTCTTCACCCAAAAGATGTGTCAGAGCAAAAGATAGTCACAGAAGTTTTTTCTTGGTGCTAACATGTCACTAAGGTGGGTGGAAATGTAGATTGCTCTACCATCCATTATCTTATAGCTGGATAGTTGAGCATGAGCGTATAGTTTGGCAAGGGCTATAATTCAAGCCATTCCATACTGAAGAAATATGTATGTGAGATACCACAAAATCAGGAGCAGGGAGTACCATCCCAAACCTGTGTCCCAAGGTGAACCCAAAAAATCACTTGATTCATTACGTAGTGGGTTAACTTGTATAACACTACCAGATAACACCCTAGCCCTACTTCCCACATTAGGGGTGTGTCCAATTTGTCTCATAAAAACTAATGAGAAACTCAATATTGGCTTTCCCAGTGACTTGGGACTGGGATCACAAGGGTACTCCTGTACTTCATTTGAAAAAATTGGGGGAGGACAGAATTCACATGTGAGAACACTACAGAGATGCATGGACCATTGTCACCAGGCACAATCATCTGCCATTATGTCCCACATTGAGAGGCAATGCAATTGGTGACCATGACTAGAGACATTGTGAAGGCAGGCACACACCTAGTGCTGTCATAATTTTTTTTTTTTTATTGTTGTGAAATGCAGAATGGCTGGTCAACATAATACAAATAGAAACTGCCAAAGCAGTCTTGTAGAAAATCCCATCTCAACACCTAGCACTGAGCAGCAGCAGATAGGCTTAAAACTTTCCATACACTCCAACTCAATGTGGATCTTAGGCAAGAATTTGCAGTGAGGCAACACCAGCCACTCAGTGGGTTGCATCCTCTCCATAATACAGATATATATATATATATTGCATAAGATGGTTATGAGACTTGAAAAAGAAAGGAGAAAAATAAACAACTCACCATAACTGCAGAAAATGACAAGTAGAGGCAGACAAAAGCCAGGATAGGTGAAACCTCCCCGGTGTGTAAGTAATAGAACATCAATGCATTTGGGATTGTCCACATCCCCATTTACAAGACCTGAAACAGACAACCTACATGGTTATAGGCAGGAGAATCAACAGTACGATGGGTGAAGACAGGAAAAATAAGAAAAGGGTCATCACCCACAGAAGAAGAAACTAGGCAAATGGGATGTATGGTATGACCAAACCAGTCAGAGTGAAAAGATATAAGGTACCAGAAGAAGAAGAATCCCATGAAAAAAAAAGATGCTGGCAAGTGCCCAAAAATAGGGCAGTACAAGTGAGATAACATTAAAGATTATGTCATATATAACAAAGGAGAATCTTTACAGGGAATAATCTCGAAATTATTATAAAAAGAGGAGGAATGGAGAAAACATTCAATCACCCTCCTAAGCCATCCAAATTTCGGGGCAGCCTGGGAAAAAGATGAATTTGTCCCTTTAGTAAATAGTGTGTGAGTAAATCAAGACAAACTCGAATGATGTCTTCTGGAATGGAAAAAGAGAAAAACTATTTCTGAAACATGTATAAGGATGGTGAACCACACGAGACACAAAGCATCCACAGCCAGAGTGTAGAGTTTGGGATTGGATATGAGTGGAAGTAAGGAGTGGAGGGGAGGTTGAAAAGCAGTAATGATTGAACATCCATAGTGGGAGTAAATCCACTGAAAACACCAGATCATGGAGAAAACAATCTGTGGGAAGAGTTAAGGCCTAAGCAAGATAGTCAAACTGCTATCAGGATCCAAGTTTCAAGACACAATAGATCAACATCTGAACATGGTGGTCATGGGCCCAAAAGAGAAAGTCCAGAGCCAGTAAAACAGAAGACCTGTGAGTAAGTGCCTTCCTGTCAGGTGAAGGAAGAAACAACAAAGGCAATCCAAATTGATAACGATGAGACCAGAAAAACAAGAGAGAAGATGACAGCAAGCATGCAAGTAGCTACCCACTAAAGGATGTAAAGGCAGAGGAACTTCACTCCTGGAGACCAAATTTGGAAATATATTAGATGTCTAAAACTGCACCCCACTGGAACAGAGGCCATAGAAAAGTGTGTGGTCATAAGATTGGTTGACATCAAGCACAAGACCTACACAAAGTGCCACCTGTAAAACATTCACCATGGATGTGGAAACTCACACATGTAAACAGAAGGAGCCCACAAACTGACTTCTGAAGGGTTCCAAACAAGTGCAAGGGACCTAGTTAACCAGCCTGATCATGAAAGGAAGACTGTGTATATCTGACAGTATCTGCATTGGCAGACCAAAAACAGTTGAAAGGGACAAATACGAGCACACCTAAGAGGAATGAGAAAAAGCTCTCAAAAGAAAAAAAAAGACTCATGAAGGAAATAAAAAAGGCAAAATAACCCTGATATCAAAGCTCCATGTCACAAAGAAAAATATGAAGAATGAACCTGCCCCACATACAAAGTGAGAGAGAGACCTCACAAATGAATGAAGTACAGGGAATGGGGTTCAGACTGAAATGAAGAGCCGAACCAGCCAAAGTTGTAACAGAGAAAGCCATATCGGTAGGGATAAGTAATGGCCAAACATTCAGGTCAAAACAGGCCTCAAGAATGTAACCTCCAGATAATAATTCACCGGACCCAATGAAAAGATGGGGCCATAGCCAACCAAACAAATCAAAGAAAGAAAAAGGCAGGCAAACAAATTAAGATGTGGAGAAAGTGTCAGAGACTCAAATTAGGTCATATGCCACCGAAGAGAGTATCCACCAGTGTGTGAAACTGCCCATTAGGAACCAAAAGCAGGAGTGAAAACAACAATTGTGATAAAACACTCAAAAGATGGAACAGGCTCAGTTAAAGAATTGGAAGCAGGAGGCTGGTAATTCTGGATCCAAGATCAGAATGGAACCAACCACATGGTGCACAATGGCAATAGTATCACTGACTGCCAGTGTCTCCAGTCACCAGTAATGGGTGACTCCTGGGGTATGTTAGAAATGTGGGAACATGAAAGTATAATCCAGCTAAACCAAGAAGTGTTAAGGTGGTCCTTTTTGTTTTATGTTATCAGATAGAAAATGAGCCAGGTATGGTGATGGTGCATATGCCTAATCACAACCTTGAAGAGTGCTGGACAAAACAACAGGAACAGACAATGGGATGTGCCCAAAAAGTACACAGTCAATTTAAAGAAGAATCAAATTAAAGATAATTCAAATGAAATTTCTAACTGATAATTTTAAAATTCAATATCATTCTTTCAGATAATCAAGGCAATAAAGGAAAGAAAGACTATACATGAACAGTAACAAAAGGTTAAAACGATAAGTACAAAATTTCCAGTAAATACTATGAAAAAATACAAACCTGAAAATAAACAGTGCTGAGGAAAGAATGAGCCTGTGTTCATAGGGATTACTGTGCATGAGTATGTGTCACTCTTCTTTAGTGGAGAGCGAGTTTAATGATGATTACATGATAGATTGGCACAATACATGTTGACACATGTAAGAATAGGAACTTTGTTCAAGACTGGTGGCATGTGCAGGAATTTACATGGCAGTGCATGTGATGCAAAAGTGTGTAGACAGGATTTCCTATGGTCAGGGGTCAAAGGGAATGTCATTATGTTTGTAGACTTACATTCAAAATTTTTTGAACTACTATTTTATGAATGTATGTCAATAAGTTTGGTATTGAATTGTAGATTATAATTCAAATTTTAGTATTACACATTAGTTAATTTCTTATTAAAACAAATCTTAAATATAATTTTTTTGTTTCACATGGTATGTTTAATGCAGCTTTAATTCAAATTAAATGTTTATGATATCCAAATACAAAGTAAAACATTTTTTACAAATCATAAACTCAAATTATCAATATTGACAAGCTAAGTTATAAAATAAGAACCTCCTATATTTTCTATTTCCTAAGATATCACTATATTTAGTGAATCAAACACAGTGGCCCCGCCCACCTCTTCCATTTTTGGAAATCCTTATGTATACCCACTTTGCTCTATCATGTATTTATAACCAATCAAAATCACATGGTTTTCTCAGCATCTTGAAGGTGGAAAGTTCCAAAGATTATTTCTTCTGTCTTGAATCTTTGAAGGAAGGGGTAAGTCAAAATGTTGTTCAAAAAACAATATTTTTTTAGACCCAAATACATTTTAGTATAGTAAGCCTGATAAATTACAGTGGAATTCTGCAATATTGAGAGAGTAATTTATAATTTTTTTTATTTCAAAATGTACATATAAAACCCAAAAATGTAATTTTGTTTTACATTCTCAACGTGCAAAATTTGGCAAGGCTTAGTGAGATTTATATCAATTTCCTAATTTTTTAGGGTGGTTATGTGGTCAATCAAATTGACCAAAGCCACACAGAAATACAATATTGAAATTAACAGATAAAATATAAAGTTTTTCTAAAAACAAAGTTTGTTAATTATATGGAGGTTATTAGGAGACTATAACGCTTTTGCATGTTAAATTTGACAATTTTCTGATGCATAGAAGTATTTTTAATCTTAAAATCAAAATTACTTTCATTATTGGATATTCAACATTCGAAAAGAAAAGATGCGTGAACATATCATTACTTAAAAAATCTGATATTTTGTGTATGAAAGCCTTGTAATGTTTACTGGTAACCTGCAAAATTTCATGAAGATATGTATACTGCATAAAAAGCTATAGTATGAAAACTATAACAAGCACAAAATAGTTACGAGGCGAGACCCTGAGACCAAGCCTGTAATAAGAGAATTAATGAACAAACCAAAATCCAATGTTTACAAAAAATTGTCAAGCTTTTTTTTGTACATTAACCACACAACTGATAAATTTTAACAGTTATGCTTTATAAAACAACTGAAAGAACATTAGTTTTACACTCCTCATTTTACATAGACATAAAAAATGGGATAATTTACAACACAAAATTAAATAATACAAGTGAAACTTGCATGTAGAACTTCTTAAAATTCTAACATACCTTGCCATCACCTGCTTTTGTTTCAACCCAAATTTCTCCTGTCAAGTCAATACCGTTAGCAGTAGCTGTTGTAGTAGAAACTATTCCTTGAACAACCCCTGTGGTTGTCCACTGTCCACTTCCTGGCATATTCTGGTACCCAGGGGGTGGAACATTCATTGGAGGTAAACCAGGAGGCCGCTAATGACAGAATTAGATGAGAAAGCTCACTACACTTTTTTCTTTATGTAAATAAATTCACTCATATTTATATTAACTGCTTCCATTCTGTTATTTTAACTTTCTATATATTCCCTAACAAACCATATTATGTATCAAGCTTTATAATTCTCCAAACATGGCACAAGGTCTTTATTATGTGAAATACAAGTCAATATATTGTGCTGAACTGAGCAAATACATTAATGCTATATAATGTGTACAAAATAAAAAAGAGCAAATGGAACAGTTTCCAAGTCTTTAAGAATAACACCACCTAATGATGCCAGGTAAACTTGGTGAAATGTTGTGTGCAAAATAAACAAAAGTTTTACCATCTAAAACTGATAAAAACATGTGTGAATATTTAAGAATAGTTTTTTTTTCATGAAAGTTTTTAATCAATAAAATATATTTCAAAATTATTTACAAAGAGTAAAAAAACAAATATATTAATTTAACATCTTTCAGCTAATGCAAAATAAGGTTAATGTAACATACTATTTACTTTTACTAATTAGAATATCACCTCCCTGTCCTTAAGGTGTTCACTCTGTAAAAAAGCTTACATTTTATAAAATAAGTTTCAAGCATAAGTCGAACTTTAAAAGTTTATTCAGAGTTCTCTAATTCTTAATTCTCTCTTAAGTTGAAGCAGAGTTTGAATTAGTATAAATGAAGGAAATACCTGAAAATACAATCTGCAAATTTACAAAATGTGGAAATTTTTGTTCAAGAGAAACTGAGACTGTACAACACAACAATGTGGTATGAGCTTTATCAGTTTTATGTTTTATACATATTGTCATAAATATCCATTTTTCAAGTTAGACTAAAATAAGCATTTCTTGTTTATGAACAAATATTTTTAATATTTTACAGCATTTTGAAAGGCATCCCAGGCTCAGAATGACGGGATCATGTATGCCTTACTTAACCAAAGAAACAGAACTCATCCAGTCTGGAATTGTGAACATTCATCCTTCTCTCCAACTGCATGGGCGAGGAGCATTCCACTTTCCGCCAGAATCAGGGAGAGGACATGGAACACTGTTCAACCAAGGACCTACGATGGGACCACCTTGTGTTTAAAATTATGAGGTGACAGTGGACCTCCATCCATGAACAATATACAATCGGACACTGTTCATAAGAAGGGTCGTGCACAACCCAACCGAATAGGGCAGGATCAAATCTGAACTGGTATTACGAGTAGGCTCCCACGGAGGCTGGCACAGCTTCTACTAACATCCGAGAAACACATCCATGGACCCAGATAGAAGGGCCTCTAACTTCACCCTCTTCTCCAAAAGTGGAGGAACACACACTAACACTCTGGAGGAAAAACCTCTGTCCACCACCCCAGTGACTGGAAACTGGGTGAGGTAAGAACTCCCTCGCTCCACTAGTAGAATCTGGAGTGGTTAATGTGCATTGGGGAGTCCTGAGGATCAGTGCTCTGGAAACAGTGCAATAGGAAAACTAAATTCCCTAAATTTTGAAAAGCAAACCAATCTCACTGATGATTAGCAGGGACGGGCATTATCCCTTTTAGCTTTACTCGTGATAGTCCATGAGCATATGAAAATACTGTCTGTAATGCACCTAGATGGTCTTAAGGAACACTTATTTCTACAGAACCTGTTGCATCAAGCTCAAAAATGAGGTACTGGGAACCAAAACAACTGCAGTTGAGAATTCCAATGATTTGCAAAGACGTCTACCGTTGTAGACCCAAACTGAGAGCAAGTAAGTATAGTGAAATGGATTGATATTGTGGAATTAAAATGATAAAAGCACACCTGTCTGGGCAACACTCGTTAAGGGGTGGCATCCAGATAAAAAGTAAAGGGACCCTGAAAAGAAAAGAGAACATATGATGAAGAAAATTACTCACCCCTTGTTAAAATATAGCAGATGTAGTCAGAACAGCCACAAGAAATAGTTGAAAACCTTCAGAATAGGAAACTGCCAGATTGTGTAAGTAATGAGAGATGAAAGTATTGGGAGAAGTACACATACCAGCTCACACAATGTCTTCCAGAGGATAATTCAAATGGGCAGCCAATGACACAGAAATGTGACGAATCTGGCGAGATGTGACTCACAGCTTATTTCTCTCCTGTAAAGATAGACCAGAGTAGGCAATATGCATCAATTTTCAAAGCCACCTTGTCAAGGTAATGGGGATAAATCCTGAGAAACTAAAGGATCCCATGGAATAAATAGTCTATTCCTAGTACCCCAAAAAGAGTTAGTACGAGCCACATAACACCTGAGAGCCCTCACAGGACATAACAAACGACCGAGGTCCGAGCGGTCATAAAGGTGAGAAATGGCTGGCAAATGAATGGGTGAGAAGGATTAGTGGCCCTCTCTAGTGGCCAGAGTAAAGCAAGACATAGGTGGAATGATTCAAGAGTCCTATGTACATGTAATGCAAATAATTCAGATCAACGATGTCCACATGCTAACAACAACAAAAAATATACCTTAATCGAAAGGTGATATAAAGAACAGGAGGCTAAATGCTTGAAAGGATGATGAGACAATGCATGTAAAACAACTTTAACATCGCAATTAGGCAATTGAAAAAGCCGTTTGGGCCAAAGGACACAAAAAGAATTTAAATAGGTTAGATATCACTGGAGAGTCAAAAACATTTCTTTATTTGGAATATTGAAAGGTAGTAGATAAGGACGCTTTATATAAGGCTAAAGTAGATGAAGCAAAACCTCTCCCAAAGATCCAAGTCAAAAACGTGAAATGGTAGACACCTTTGGATGAAGTGAGTTGAATTTATGTTTTAATTTTATACACCACTGGCAATCAGTGTGCCATTTTTGTTGATAAGTAGCCATAGTTGGTCTATGGAGAGATTTAGTTAAATACAATTCAACTTTATACGTTAAAACCCTATGTGCAGTAAAGATCCCTATAGCTTCCAGGCATAAAGTTTGAGTTTCTGAACATCTGGGTGTAGAATGTTGGATTGAGGTTGTCTCAACAGAGATGGCCATAAAGGAAGTAGTAGAAGTGGACACACTTGCAGATATTGAAGAAGAGGAAACCCCATTTGAGCTGGCCAAAATGGTGCTACCAAAAGAACCCCAACAAGGAATGGAACAAACCATAGCTAGAACTATGGGCAACAGATGAATTGAAAGAAAAGGCATACATATGCAAACCCATCCAGTCCTGACAGAATGCATCTAATACTAAAGCTCAAGAATGAGGTACTGGGAACCAAAACAACTGCAGTTGAGAATTCCAATGATTTGCAAAGGAGTCTACCATTGTAGACCCAGACTGAGAGCAAATTCACTGAAAAACCTCTTGATATAGCATCCAATCGGTCAAGAGTATCTGGTTGAGCAGAGAGAAATGATCTGCAATTAAATTCATCACTCTAGAAATATGGCACACTAAGAGGCTTATAAGATGGGAGTGAGCCCAGTAGAGAAGATCTGAGGTTTGAAAACAGAGATCTCGAGAATGTATGCCACCTTGATGAGAAATATAGGATACCACTGTGGAATTGTTGGAATGGATCATGACTACTTTCCCCTTCAAGAGAGACAAACCTTGAACCATTGCTCGGTGTTGAGCAAGTAGTTCAAGAATGTTGATGTGAAGAGCAGACTCATAAGGTGCCCAAATACTCTGGAACTCCAGACTGTAGATATAAGCACCCCATCCATGAAGAGATGCATGTGTAAACAGATGAATCACAGGATGAAGAGGTGGAATCGGTACCCCGATAGTAGTGTTGTTGCTCCAACCACCAATCGAGATCTGCGATGTTGCTCCTGAGTAAGGAGACTGGATGATCCAAAGGATTAGAGTTCATGATTCATTGGTCACGTATTGACCACTGAAGGGACCTAACATGGGCTTGTTCAACCCTGAATACAGAACATGGAGCAGCCATGGTCTGTGGTGAAGGAAATTCAGCTGTTGAGAAATTAATGTAATCGTCCTCCCACAGGCAGTGGATGGCAAACGAATACACTCCAACAAGGCATCTCGACTCAATAAGTCCCAGAATCAGACTATCCACAACACCAAGGCAAGGCCTGAAGAGAACAAACGAGCCATAGTGGTAACCAGTAAGGTTCCCTGTTTGTTGTCAAATTGATGATGAGAGCATTGATATGCTTCAGACAAAAGGTGAAGGGAAGAAAAGTATCATAATACAGTAGTAAGAGTCAAACAAATCCACGAAACTTGATATCTGTTAAGAGTAATAACAGGTTCTAACCTAGAACCCAATAGATCCAACCATTGAGTGTCCAAATATACTTCATCCTGATGATAAGCCAGGGCATGTTGTTCCGATAAACAAGGGGGGCAAGGCATAGCGATACCCTTTCGTAATTGTATTGCAAGCCTCCCAGCATGCACGGGAATATCAGAAAGAGGAAGAACTAAGTAATTCCCCCGAGATCTGACAACAAGGAATGGGTAGACTCCAAAGCAATGCGTATCTAACTCCAGAAAAGGGGCAAAAGGTGGCTGATCAGATGAGCCCTCAGTAGATGCAGCCCTAGAGAAAGAAGGAGCAGGAAAGAGTGTGTCTAAATTGATGAAAAAGAAACTCGGAACCCACCAGTCCCCCCCCCCCCCACAACTGCTGACTACCACCACACAACAAAGGAGGAATGAACAATGAACATGATTCTTAGTGCTCGCGCTTTGTCGAGAAAAAGTTATTATATTGTCTGCATACAGTGCTTATATACAGTCTATACATAGAGGGTGTGTGAGGGCCAGTGTAAAGTTTTGCAAATTAGATATTGCCAAGGGCAGTCAAATGGGGTATAAAAGACTGGAGCACGTGAACACAATGTTTAGATGGATGTTGAGAAATAGCTATAAGTGCCTGTGGAGGTATGCATGTTTTGGAAAATATTCAACTTGGGCTTGAACTTCCTCATCCCAAACCACCAACAGTTGACATGTAGTCAATGTAGGATCTACAGCTCAAAAACCTGTAGGAGAAAAATTTAGACACCAAACTTGTGTTATCATCAAAAACTAAAAAACAAGATCTTAGTGCATTGAATTGTCTAAAATTGGACAATGCTATTAACATTTAACATGTAGACAAAGAACACAGCACAATCATCTTAGACACAGATGATTACAACACCATGATGACACAGTTTGTAAATAGCCAGAAGCTCAAAAATGACCCCAAAGAAAAGACCAATAGTTGTCATCAAAAGATTGTTTAACAAACTCAAAAACCAAGAGATAATCAGGGGTGCTCTTAATTCTCATTTATTTTCTGATTTGTTCAACCAATTAAAAGCATATTAGAGATATTAACATACCATAAAGTAAAATTTCAACCTCTTCTTGCTTTAGTTACACTCCCTTTACATATCCTCTATATTTAACCCATTGACCAGTGGCTACTAACTTTCTGATTAGCCATTGCAAGGCTTGCTATATTTCAATCCAACAATAAAACTAGTGGATGAAACTGCTTGAAACTTCATAAATGCATATAGTTTAAGAAACATAATGCCTGTTACTTTGATTCATTTAGTTTTTTGCATTATGATCTTTAATATCTTGAAAAATTACATTAGGAAATGGTATTTATAAGAACTGATTACGATATTTATATCTGTTCCAGATTTGAGCTTATTACTTTTTATGTTTTAGTACATTATTTTGAAATCCCCCAAAAATTGTATCA